AAAACTTTTTTTTTAATTATTTTGAGTTTAGGACCTTCTGATCACCAATTTAAGGTGAGGTGGCTGATGTTTGTCAGGAGCATTTTTTATCTTCACATGCCACTGAATTGAATAATTTTTATCACCTCAGAATTGTAAAATCCAGGGAAAATCTCCAATCCAGTCGTTGTGAATGTCACCCTAACCTTCTGCACACACCCCTCTATATCCAGGTGAACAGGATGTGAAGCCAGAGCCGGACTGCCTAGCGTAACTAGCGATGGGTACCGAATTCGGTACTTTTTAAGGTACCGACCGAATTCCATAGTACCGACTGAGCACCGATTCACGTCATTTGAAAAGGTGCCTCCTTTCGGTACCCGTCCTTCACATCGAGAACTTGCCTAGACAGCTGCGCATGCGCAAGAGCGTTATGTCGTCGGTCGCTGCGAGCCAGTTGTAAACAGAGCAGCACGGTAGAAAGAACGCACGCTAAAGCTTGGGTTCACCTCACTAAATGTGATGGGTAACTGGGTGATGATGAAACCAGCAACAACAATCTAAGTGAGACATCCTCATCTTAATCTGGTCTGGTAGGTAAATAAAATGTTTAAGATAACTTTAGCTTGATTTGTTAGCTTTCGTTCCGCTAATGGTGCGTTCGCTTTCTCTTCGGAACTCCGAATTTCCAACTAGAAGAACATGAATGCACTCTAAAGTTTGGCTTCACTTTACTAAATGCGACGGGTGATTGGGTGAAGATGAAACCAGCGATCTAAGTGTGAGGCATCATCGTTTTAATCTGCTCCAGCAGCTAAATAAACTGTTTAAGATAACATTAGCTTGATACATTAGCTTCCATTGCCACCGTTGTTATCAGCTAATGGTGTGTTTGCTTTCTCCTCGGAAATTCTAACTTCTCAGTAGGAAAAATCAAATGAAAAAGGACGGCAAAAGGAATGAAGATACACAGTAAATTTAGTTCACAGTAAAGATGTTTGCTTCAGTTTAATTATCAGCTTATAAAACTACAAGGACGATGTTAAAATACAAACAGCTGAATGTTATTTATCATGATGTTTATCAAATATGGTTATAAATTGAGAAAAATATATATTTAATTATAAAAAAAGAATTAAAATATTAAAGACTCAAAAGTATCTAAAATTGGTACCGTTAAGTACCGGTATCGATTCCTAGGTACGGGGAATTAGAACTGAATCGATTCAAATGTCAAAGGTACCCATCCCTAAGCGTAACGGATGGATTGTTCTCTTGCAAAGGTTGTTTAAGAGTTCATTTTAAAAGAGAACCGGGTGGACAGGGTGAGTCTGAGGACGTTCAGGGTGGGTTCTAGAAGTTTTTTACCCTTTGTTCCTGGAGATTTCCCAGATTATCAGTGGTGCTGTGACTTCAAAGCTAAGAATAAACCAAAAAACACCACGATATGTTAGCTAGCATACTAAACTGCTGTAGTTAGATGCAACACGTTGGGAATAATGGCAGGAAAGGTACCTAGAGCAGGTGGAAAATGTAAAATGGAATCCCAGGAATGGTCGTTGCGTGTTCCTGGAGGGGAAGCCTGAAGAACGGTGGACATTTGTATATTAAAAAAAAAGCTTTTACCTTTTAGCCAATCGTGGTGACTTTTGGCTGATTCTGATCACCAGCTAGTTAATCTTTAATGATTATCAGATTACCTGATTCTCCAAGCTGAGCAAAAAGAAAGTATTGGAATCAGAAACCCCACAAATCTATGAAAGCACAGTTTCAGACGTCAATAAACACGTTTCAGACTGTTTAGTTTAAATCCAGCGTGATTATCAATGAAAACATTTGGTTAACCTGTTTTCTTCTTTCTTTTTTTTTTTTTTACAAACATAATCTTTACACTGAAACTTCAGAAGCTAAAAGGCGTTCTTCTTCTTGCATATTTACTTTTTCCGTCACCTCTGTTTCAAAGAAAGCTCCGTAAATAACCCTTCCTCTTTGCCTCTGCGCTTCAGCAGGAACAAGCCTGGCCAGCTGACCAAAGCGTTTGGAAACCACAACCAGGAAGAAGACATGTGATCACCACGACAGCTATTACAGTCACCCCTGTTGTTATCAGTTTCAGAAATAAAAAAGATAAATCTGCTCTTTAGCGAGCAGAAAAACAAAAGGGATGACCTGCAAATGCTGAAAAGGGAGAAAACAACCAGAGAGCATCACAAAAGCATTCATAAAGGTTGTATAAATAGTCCCAGGGGTTTTCCATTCCAGTTTACACTTTAGTGAATGTAAAAATGTCTGCCAAGGTTCAAAGCTTCCAATTTCACATAATAATAAAGGAATGAAACACCTGAAACACCTCATTTAGAGTCCAGGACCCTCCAAGGTCTGTAGAAACTGTCTTATTTAAAATCCTAGGAATGGAATCTTGAATGCTCGTACGAACGGTCAAAATCCGGATTTATGAAGCATGCAGTGGCCGCTCGTGCGCACGTCCCTCCGCGGTCGACTGCTGATAAATCCCACGTATGCGTTCCCAGGTGCTCGTGTCCGTTCAGTCATTCACATATGGAAACGCCCTCCAATAACCAAATCTGGTCACACTACATCCCAAGCTCATGAGGGAAATTCCTGCGTTCATCCCAAAAGAAAAAAGAAGAAAACCCTTCGGTGACGGTGAGATTGAGGCGCTCTTTCAGCTCAGTAAAAGAAAGAGCATCACCTGAACATGCAGTCGGTAAGAAGAGAGGTTCCTGTCAGTAGCGGACTGAGCGTTCCATTCTGTTACCATTTTGTTCTTATATGGAGAAATCCTAACGTTGTCAGAGACTAATGATGGACTCAGCAGATTTGTGCGGTTTGTCTGTCACGCCGCAACGGCAGATCCAGCATCTCCTTCAGGAAGCGGTACCCGCTCAGAAGCCACTCGGTCCATTTATGATCTCTGCTTATTTTTACCAAAATGAGGTAGAACTTTGTGATCTATTGACTCCAAAAGTAGGAGTGAAAACTGGATCACTACCCTCGCCACCACCAAAATCTAAATCACAGTTTAGTTTAAAGGTCTCACGATTATCTTCATCCCCCGCTTCTCTTCTTCTCTTCTTCTACATCACAGATAAAACTAGCATCTATGGCCTCGCCCACCTGTGGAAGGCTGTGTTGAGTTTGTAGACAGGAGAGAGAAGAGCATGTCTCGGCTAGTAGAAGCTAACCGTTAGCAAGTCCACAACAAGCGAAGCGACCATAAAAATCTTCTCAAAGTTACCGCCACAGCAGCGTTCATTAGGCATCTTCCCCAAACCCACTCCCATCTATTTCAACATGTAATTCGTGATGTGCACAATCGCCGCCCGGTGCCTCATTTACATGCAGCCAATAAAAGGGAGCTATGCACTTCACACTTTGGAAATAACTGGGTCTTTTTCGTGTGGGGCCATGAAGAGTGCATTAAGGAGCTGTAGCATTAGCACAATATTCATTAGGCATGAGAAGTTCAATTGCAAAAAGCAAAGTTTTAATGCACTAAAAGGTATATTTAACCAATAAAAGCTTATTTTATGCTCCTTTTACTGCAGTTTGGAAAAGAAATGAGTGGCCGCAGTTTGAAATACAATACAACACAAAGCTCACATTAATACTGTCTTACATAAAAGTTTCACTCATAAAAATCAATGAATATTTTAGAAAATCATCATCATTCGTTAGTAAGTGTGTCTCCACTGGTATCAACTCAGCTACTTGAACTCCTGCAGCTTAAACAACAGTGTTTATCACACCACTTTTAACTGGTTTAACCAAAGACGTGTGGAACAGTAATAGACCCACACACAAAAAAAAAAAGATACGTATAAGATTTTTGTTTTTTATTCCTGAAAGAGAGATGGGCGAGTAAGATTAATAAAAGAAGACAAAGGGCAGAGGGGCAGTGTCAGTTGCTCTGCATGGACAACACACGTGTAACCAGACTCTGCAGCCACGGCCATGACCTCACCGGGTTTTTCCACACACACGCACACACACACACACACACACACACACACACACAAAGGAAACTGCACACTGGGTCCTTGGCTAGAGTACATTCAGCCAGGCCTGGCACAGCGAGAGCCAGCTCCCATTCAGAGACACGTATTGTAACCGTACAAAGTGTGATGGTGCAGGCGTGCTTTACAAAAAAAAAAGAGGCTGATCTAAAGTAACAGGAAGGACACAAAGAAACAGTCATGTGACTTGTTTCTTAAGGGTTGAGCTTGAGATCACATTTTTGATCCACTGATCTACGGCGCCAGCTCACACCAATCAGAGCAGCTGCCTCTTAACTTCTGTTCTCTAATAAAGAAGCAGAGAAATAATTTCCGCTTCTTATTCTGTTGCAGAACTTGATAGCTCTGGTTCACATGCCGACTTCTAACCGCGACCACAGAGGAGTTCTTTCACTGGAAGTCGAGTTACCTGTTACACGCTTCGAAACAAACACATGAAGGCAGCAAAACTGGTCTAAATACTCCCACTGGTCTAGATTTCAGCACCAACCACTACTATGTCCGTACTCGTCCTTCACATCTAACTGGAACGTAACCTTTTACCATTAAATTTAGCTTCCACACTTATTTGGGGCCGTGAAAGATAAGCTAAAAGTGTTCGTGACCTGCAGTAAAACTCATTTCTAAACCGACAGCTAAAAAAGAAAAGCCACAGAAGACCTAAATGCACATGTTTCCAACTAGGGTAACACCTGTTCTGTGCTCTCCTGCACAATCAAGCAGCTTAGATCATCCTATGAGCCATGCTGGAAAAAAGCTGCAGTCATCCAGACTATGTCATGTTTGTGTTTAAAATATGTGAGAAGGCGAGATGCAGTCCTGAGGGCTTGACAGTGGACCGGCAGCTCCTTTCCACATGAACATTCCAGTGCTGAGGGCCTGCCTTTTGGTGGTTTGGGTACATTTTTACAATCCCACAACACGGCTGCATATTAGGCTGCAGGTGGTATTCAACACATTGTCTAAAGAGGTTAGAAGTCCAACCTGTCGCTGCCTGAAGTATGGTGTCCTGCCTGTTTCTACGGCGCTTCCAGAGGCGCTGATTCCATCTGCGGAGACAAGAGAAAGCCCAGAATGACCAGCAGTGCACTAACAAACACACATTGGCAACCACTAAAGTCAGATTAAAATCCCGCAGGAGTGATTAATCTTAGTGGAAACTGATCTGATCGTTTGCACAATGAGCTGCTCCTGTGATGCAAGAGGCCCAGCTCTAACGTAAATGACCCAGATCTAAAGAGAAACCACATGCTCGCGAATTAGAGCAAGAAAGGTAGGCTTATTTATGCACCTGCATGTTTGAAAACTAAAAATAGCACATTTCTCTAAGTTTGTGTTTTTGCTGGAATGAAATTCGTGAGCCTAAAATAACCCTTAAATCTATAATATTCAATAAAAATGACAAGAAATATTACAATAATGAACGTTACGTGGCTGCAACAGTTTGAGAATATATTTTATTTTGAAGGGAAACAACGAACTTTGGCATTTTTTTCTCAGTTTGAACCTGCTTCTGTTTTATTTCTATAAAAATAACCGTTGTGTTATAAAGCTGACCAGCAGTACAACTGCTGCGAAATCCTGAGAGATTATTAAATGCAGTTGAAACTCATGTGAATAATAAAAGGATGCGCATTTGCGTAATTGCCAGTGCGCTTAAATGAAAGACGAAACACCTGCGCAGGTAGGAACTAGTACTATGCGTGTTTACATCGTTTTCTTTCATAAATAACATATAATCAGAATATTACACATTTAAGATAAACCGAACGTGTTCCCATCAGTCCTTTCACCAGCGCACTGAGGTCCCTACCTTGTGCGTCTCGCAGAAACAGAAACAGTCTAAAAAAACAGCTCAAAAGTCCTAATTATGCAGAAATTCCTCCTGAAATCAGATCCCAGCGGAGTGAAACCCTAACGGGAGGTGATGGAGGCCGCCGGAGGTGCCTGGAGGTCTCGGGCTGAAGAGGAGGAACTGGAAAGTGGCTTAACGGAGGCAAGTTGCAGAAACAAAGTCCGCCCCAGTCGAGGTGCGCCTCCCTCCCGCGGACAGAAATAGCAGGCGAGGCGGGTCCCACCAAAAATAGCCTCGGCTTCTCACGGACTGGTTCGTCTATTGTTTTCCTGCTCCGGCAGATGTGGTGCTCCGAGCTTCACTCGCTGACTTTTAGTTTTGTTTGTCTACATTTGGGATTTTGTGACACATATGGAGTCTTGAGCCCAACGCTGTGGCTCCACCTGCCGTCAAAACATCTCCAGAACCTTCTTGTAAACAGAAGAAAATACCACCAGACTGCGTGAACCCAATCATCCTGCAGTTATTCTACACATTTTAAACTGGTGACACTTTTTTTTATCATCATAAACTATGACTGAACCAACTTGTCAAGACGGGGACAAACATCTTGAAATTAAAAGTCCTTCTGGGCCTTAAAATTGTTCTTTATTTGTTTTTAAAAAAAAGTCTAAATTGATTTAATTGTGGCTCCTGTTTGTTTTTACTGCTCAAAACAGGCTTGGGAGTAAGAATCTGAGTATAAACGTGTCCAACTGCTCCAGTAGTCCAATCCTGGTTCGAGAGGGCCACTACCCAGCATGTTTTATTTGTATCCCTGCTCTAACTCGCCTGAATTACCTGTTTAGCTATTAAAACCTGGTGATTAAATCAGGTGTGTCGAAGCAAAGAAACCTTTAAAGAGTAAGCTCTGAAAACGATCTGTCACTCAGAGTCTTTCGTGCATGTTGAGCATGAAAATAGTCTCCCACACCTATCTCCTGCATTAGCTTCTGACAGAAAATAGCAGAAAACCGCTTGGGTCAGAAAAGCCTGACAGATCTACGTCACACTGTTGTTTCACATTCATGGACTCACCCATCTTGGATCTGGACGGGAAGTTTTTTTTACCGTCTAGGAAACAGCAGAGAACGTCTCAGCTAGTAGAAGCTAACCGTTAGCATTAGCAACTCTACCACACAGCAGAACTCCTCCAGGTTTGTGTTAGTTGTGATGATAAAGCATAAACATAGCAGAGCAACCAGCGTTCAGATGAGAGGCGAGATGTCCAAAAATCAGGAAATAAGACTTCAAATTCTGAAAATATGTTCTCTTCTGGCTCACTTCTATGTCCTCAAACAGGTGCACCAGTGCATATTTTCCCCCGAGAACGACTTACAAGGCATTCGTTTCTTCTAGAGACAACTGCAAATGTATTAAAACTATGAGTAAAGTTTACTTTTAAAATATGCAGTATGGTGGCCCTGGAGGACCAGGATGCTGAAGGACCAGCACTTCCAAATCAGAGGACTCAAAAGGAATTTACACAACAAATTCTACAAAAACTGCAAGATTTTGTACTTAAAGGGGGCAAACTTTCGTTATTTCAATAAACGGGCTGTGGGTAACGCCTTGTGAGTCATTTTCTGTCTTAATGAAGCTCTGGCGCTCCAGTTTGGGGGGTAGAAAGTTGGGGAGGCAGGAACTGGCGTCTTATGTGCAAAATGTCACTTCGGATTGGCAAACAACAATGCAACTCTTCTGCTGCCACTGTTAGCTCTTCCTACTTGGGTAAAAAATACAACTTTGATGTTTTATCTCCACAAAAAGCTTGAAAGTGTTCCACCATGTTGGGGGGTTCTTTTGCTAATGGTTAGCTTTTAGGAGAATCCCTAATATCCACTGTCGGACTTAGCACGCACCTTTTTGTTTGTCTTCATCATTGTGACTAAAACAAACCATTTGGAGTTCTGTGCACACTGTAGCTGATGTGTTTCCTGCCAATATTTTCTCAGGAAGCCAAAATCTGTGCAACCTCGTTTGATTTCCTGTATAAATCTGCAACACTGGCAGTGATGCCCAAAGGTTTTACTTTCTGTTTCAAGTTCGAGCTGAATTGAAAAAGGCTGTTGCAAAACAAAACAAACAGGCCCACAGAAGTGTAAAAGTTCTGCTAGCACACTATTTCATGAGAACTTTACTTGATTTGATTACAGATATGAAACACTTTAAGTCTAAAAACTGTTTAGGAATTGTGTGTTTTTTGCTTCCAAGGACAGGGCAGTTTAATAAACTGATGGCTGAATAAGATTTCATGAGAAAATACTTGAAATAGTTTCTGTTTGTAACAATAATGTGAGACAATAGACCGACTGATTGTGCAAATTGCGTTTCTTAGCATGGCTCCGTGAATTCACAGAACTGTCAGAGCAGTCGTGATGTCTGAGATTAAACTTGAACCTAATTTGGTTTTGAGGTTTAGGATTAATTTGTGCAGAATCAAAGGGTATGAAGAACTGGAACGAAATGTCCCCATACGTAAGCGAGCTGCTGACTAATCTGCAGGATGTATGCAGGACCTGTTTTTGGGTCTCGGCTGTTAAAAGGGAACATTTTATGCTTACTTGACTTTTGCATCTTTTTGTGCTGCCATATGGGTCTCTACTGCCTCTGTAAACACGCTGAATATGAATTTAAAAAATGTTTTCTTTCTGCATGGTTTATGGAAATGTGTGTGTACGAGTCCAAAAGGGTTCAACTGAAGGCAACTGAACCTCTTTGGTTTAACTTGCTGACATGCCTGGCGCTGTGGTCTGGCACCAGCGTGTTTTAGATCATGAGCACAGCTGGTTTGCTTAATTTAGTGATGAATCACTCCTGTAGAAACTAATGAAGGCAGACTGGGAGACATTTCAGCTGTTAGATTAAGGTGTTAAAAAGACGAACGCACAGCGAGGAGATAAGTTTTGCTTTTGGTTCTACAAACAGACACAAGGGGGCGCTAAAAGCAAGCCAGAACTGTCTCCCTTTGACTATAACCTGGGCTTTCCACTAGATGCGTAAGCAGAAGGTAACGTAACAAAAGCCTTTTCCCTGCAACCTCAGTGGCGTGTTCTTTCCCACCAGGAGCGTTCCATTTTGTTGGTCCTGCGAGGTTACAAAATCACGTGTGATTTCAGCCTTTTCACGCAATAATAACGAAGGAGGAAGATGGCAGCATGTATCTAAAAGGGTGTGTGGTTTACTATCTGTTCTGTTTACACCAGCCACAGTTTCACAGGTCCTTGGTATTTTTTTTTTACTAGGTAAGCCACTGGAAATCTGCATCTTTGTCTTTTATTTTGAAAGTTCACAGATACTTTACTCTGTTTCCTGTCTGGTTAAAACTGAACAGCTGAGCTTGAAATTATCTGAAAGTGTAACATGTAAAAAATGAACCCAAAGCATAAAGTTAGCAGACTGATGTGACGCTACGCTTCCGGGACACATCCAAAACGCGACGCTTGGCAGCCGGTGGAAACACAATAATTATGACAGCAGATATTAGCTGCATACTTCGCTTCGCAGACGTTACGTACTACTTATGTGTTCGGTGGAAATTCGAGGTAATGCTGCTGGTAAAGAAAATAAGATTGTGATTTGTTATTTCCTATTGTCATGTGATAAACGCCCAGCCTATTAGGGGATGGGTGGGCGTGGCCAGAAAAAGCTTGTTTTTCCTAAAGAGATCTGACACGGCTCATTCTGGAAGGCACTGAAAATGTCAAAATGGAGCTGGTGAGATTGCTTTTTGTGAGACTGATTTCGTGCAAAAAACTTCATTAACATGTTTTGTATTGACCATAAAATTATTATAACTTAAAAGAAATAAATCATAACACATCTCATTTAAATATAGGTATAAATGAAGATCTCCGACTGTCATTTAGCAGCTTCAGCACAATGTTGTTTAGCCTGTCTGTGACTTCCTTTGTTTTTGTCTTTAATCAAACTGGGAACACAAACTGTTTATTTTTTTAATTAAATTAGTTTCTTGGGAATGTCATCTGCGCATTTCGGCCACAATGTTCCCTGAACATCTGGGACAAAACCCTTAAAATTTAAACGGCTGAGACCACAAATGGAAATGCTGTGAGTGAATAATAACTTTGACATTTATCTCCAGTTATGAAATCCTCTCTAACAAAAACATCTGATGTGTTTAAAAAAATAAACTTTTTATTTTCTTTTGTATTCTGACCCAAACTATGTTGTATACAAAAAAACTGATTATCGTCATCTGTGGTTTAGAGTAGTATCAAAAAAGTTATTATGTTGGTGTTTTTTATAAAGTATTTTCTGTTTAAATTCAGTCTTTTCCCCCAGAAATTAACATTTGGAAACACTTCACAATAGGGGTCCTTTTATTAATGTGTCTTAGTGTGTTATTAAGCATTAATAAACAAATAATCCCTTTATTAAGGTAGCATCATGAATGTCCTGTTGTTGACCTAAAGGTCATGCTCTGCTGCGTCTGCTCGAGCAGAGACATAAAGTATCTGACAGGCAAATCTACATGAGATAGTGGCCAAGGTCTTTCATGCACTCTGCTCATCTGAACTGCTTCACCTCTGGACAGCTCAAGACGACGACGAAGAACTCTCTTGGTAAACACATAATCAAACAACTTTGTTATTTCCAATAAAAATGTGAGCCCAATGTTCAATCAATCTGTGAAATTACAGTGTTATTACTTGATATTATAATCCTGTGATCAGTAGTATTTTACAAGTTATTATAAACTTGGACATTTGCATTAGACACTGATGACACGTAATGCTAAAGTCACACGACACATTTCCTTTTGTCTGACCCAATCAGAACCTTCGTTTCTGGTGCGGGGCGTGGCTTTCTGTGGTGTTTGTATAAACCCTCTTTTGCGTGTCAAATTCTGATTCGCCAGTAAATCAAAATATGACAATTATAAAAACTATTCCACGCCACCTTTTCATTAGTTAAAAGCGTTCTAGAGAAGTCTCGGACAGGCCATCCGGACTTCCTCTTCAGCCAAAAGAACCTCGACAAGCTGGATAAAATCTGTTGCAAGTTACACCTGACCGCAATGGTTCCTTCAGAATAAAAGCTGAACCTCACGACCCCTTCAGGGTCTCGCTGACGCCAGTGATAACCTGTCGTGACCTGGAAGCATTCCAAGACTAGTTTGGTCGGCACCGCTGCTTTTCTACCGGCTTTGGTTCCAAGGAGGGTCCAAGAGGACCTCCACATTCTGGATCTAACGGAGGCTTCCCCTGGGGTACGTAGACCGACAGATGGCGTCTCATGTGTGTTATAAATCTCCTACTAAACTTTAGAGCGAAACATTCACTCCCTCACAGAACTAAATGCTTCTCCGGATCCGCTGGTTCTGATAGCAACATTCCACACACACACACCATCATTCATCTCACGTCTCACTCCACCTTAGTCCATCAGTACACAGAGAGTTAAAGTTAGTCTTGTTTAAATTGTGTAGAAATAAATTTCTTAACTATTTTAAACCTGACTCTCTCTATTTCCTCGGGGTTAATACGAAGTGTCGCTTAATCCCTGCAATAAAAAGTTCCGATCTTCTGGTTAAAATAGTCAAAGATCCATCAGATTGATATTTCATATTTCTATGGAATCTCACATTTTATGGTTCATAAGTAAGATGTAAACTACCCACCCTTTACAATTGTTTATTCATTTTCTAGATCCCAAACTGAAAATTGTCCTATGTTTGCAAAAATATATATATTAATTGTTCATGACCTTTCCACAGAAAGCTAGGTATAAGCAATCCAATCTCCTTTCAAAATAAAGCTCAGGAATCAGTAAAACAGCCAAACATTTCTAGAGGTCAAAAGTCAACTGTTTTGTTTATAATCATGATGAACCAGATTAATAGAGTCTGATTTGTAATTATGACTAACAATAAGTATTAGTATGTTAAGCCGATGTTAGCCACATCCTCCTCCAGCTCCTCGACCTCTGCTTGAGGAAGTGGAGCATCCTGTCACTGCTTCAAACGCGCTGCACAAAGCGTCTGTTTCTGCGGCTGATTGCATGACGCAAGGCAATCGTTTCAAGTCTTTCCTAGAAATTAGAGGCCGTTTGCTTGCAGCAATCACCAACAGTTAGCAGCTCTCTGCAAGATTGTGCAGTTTAAACTCGTTTTAAAAAATCTAATATTTCAGAATGCCACATATTTGTGGTGGCAGTATAAATATTCCAGCTGCTGGTTTATTTTGAACATTGTAGACATGATTTAATGATTTTTGTTTTTGCATTTGCTCAAGAAATGCAATCCTCATCACTCTGTTCTGTTTTCTTTTGAAGCACAAGTAGAAAAAATTGACCTTTTTTGAAAGTTTCACTCACACATCTGAATGTTTTTCCCCACGTTTAACTGTCTTCTCAGTTTCCACAGAGCAACGAGCTTCTGCGTCTGTTTACCATTTTTTCCGATCTCAGCATCAGCCGGGGTAGCAACTGATGCTTCAGACCAATACTGAAACTGAGAAGTGTGTGTTTGTGTGCTGCACCGTCCGCTCGCTCACCATCGGGTGCCTCTCTGAAAGCGGCGGGGGGGGGGGGGGGGTACGTTCCCAGAAGTCCTCAGTGTGTGGGAGTACAGAGCTACACAGCAGTGTGTGAGAGAAGCCTCAGTGTGTGTGTGTGTGTGTGTGTGTGTGTGTGTGTGTGTGTGTGTGTGTGTGTGTGTGTGTGTGTGTGTGTGTGTGTGTGTGTGTGTGTGTGTGTGGTTGGTCCATTCAATTACACAATCTACCATGCAGTCTGATTCACATCCGGTTTAAAGCCGAAAATAACAAAACCACAGGGTGACAGAAAAGCAGCGCAGCAGGCAACCGCCCACAGGGAGAGAGGAATACACACACACACACACACACACACACACACACACACACACACACACACACACACACACAGGTCAGTTTTCTGGAAACATCAAAAACATCAAAAATGTTGGACTTTTCTAAAAAATTTTCGCTTTCCCTTTTCAGACTGGAGAAACTTTGGAATCTGTAATCGAATACAAGAATAAAGCTGCAAACCGATCCCCGTTTCAACTGATAAAGACAACTGGTTTACAACAACCTGATCAGTCAGCCTTTAGATGTAAATTAAAATGAAATGACACCGTTAAAAACAGCCAGTCTGACGTACGCGGTGCTTTCTTCAGCGCCGTATGGGGCAGGATGTGGTCAGCTGTGTGCTACAAAGCTGCATCCCACCTGCAGAGATGTGCCTCTGCTACGACACCCCAAAGAGTACGACACTGCACTGTTGCAGGACGACACTCGGATTTCACAAAGCAGAAGTTCTGAAAATATCGTGAGAAGCTCAATGAGCCCGACATTGAGAGTCCGTGTGCATTTCTACATGGGGAGGAACCGTTCAGATGTGTGTGTGCGTGTTGGGCAACATGTTGGATAACTTGTTGATTTATGAGACTTTTCTGAAAACACGTGTGAGTCTGATACTTTAGCTAACATGTGTGGACAGTGTGTCAGAAAAAACACGGCAGATGGACTTGTATAAACATGAATGAGCCTGTTTCACGCAACAGGAAAAGATACGACCTTCGCTTCTTTTTAATTATGAGCAGCAGGAGGGTCGGCGAACTCTTCTAATGTCTGGGAGAGCTCCCATCTCCAAACCGCAATTAGATTCAGCGTTTAGCAAAAAGGCAGAAAGCAAAAATAAAGGTGCGATAAGGAAAAATAAGCAAAAAAGAGTTTGGATGGGAGGAGAAAAGCCCCGTAATAATGTTTGGCCTCGGTCTGCCAGCAGGGTCCTTCCCCTTAAGAAGCCAAGAGGAATGCAAAGAATGTTGGATGGGAAGAGAAGGAAGGAGCGGAGGAAAGGGGGAGCAACTGAGGAGGAGAATGAAAGAAAAGGAAAAATGAAGAAGGGAAAGAGGAGCGAGGCGAAGATGATGAAGGCTGTGAGTAATATGGAGGAGAGAGAGCTAGCATGAGGAAAGGACGTATTATCGTTAGTAGGCTGAGTAAACTCACGAACAAAGAGGATAAAGTCAGAAGGCAGAAAAATATTTGGAAGGAAAGAAGCCTGAGCGCTGTGTGTTGTTATTTTCAGCGCACGGACACGTGCACGCACAGAGCCAATAGTGTCTTTTACCATTTCTCTGTGTGTGTGTGTGTGTGTGCGCGCGTGCGTGCGTGCGTGCGTGCGTGCGTGTGTGTGTGTGTGTGTGTGTGTGAAAGTATCAGGGTGTGGTTCAGCTGCAGGACTGAGCTGCACAACTTCCACGTTCTCCTCGCCGGATAATCTCTGCACTAGAAATCTCACACCTGGAAGAAAACAACAGAATCTTTTGTCTCGTCAACCTGCAGCCGCCGGTCTACCGCCACGAGACGCTCAGCGATACCTGAAACCAGGACCGCTTTAAGTGAAGATTGCATGTGTTGCCTCCATGAAACTGGAATTCCTGAAGGAATATGATTCACATTCTTCTGCATTTTGGCACCGTTGGGTTGCAGGATTTCTTTGAGGTCAAAATATTTGCAGGAACTGCTCTCTGGTTTAGAATTTGGCAAAAATAGCAGCAGAAGATCAAAAAGGTCATGCAGCTGCAGCACATTTTTACAAATAAACTCAGGTAGATTTGGGAATAGCTGGTGAGGCTTTTGCAGCATAAAATTGGGTGACAAAGGCAGATCTCTTTGCCCAAGTGTCAGATTGATGTGAACATTCATAATTAAACAACACCTAGAATCAGTGCAAAAGGCGGTTTGTGCCGTTTCCACACAGGATGGAGAAAGTTGCTCTGATTCAGAAAAAAAAGGTTGTGCGGTAAAACGGTTCAATTTCAAATCAAAACAAGTTTAAAAAGGGTTAGGATTAGGCTAATAGACGTGAGTTTTTACCATCTTAATGGAAACACATTCCTATTTAGTCACCTGAGGAACTTAAGAAACTCTACAGTAATTGTGATAACCCCTGAAAATAAATAAGTACCTTTGATTCATCCCTTGTGTGCAGCCAGCTTCACCCTAAAACATCTTCTTCTGAGTACTGAAGCATTATGATTAACTTCAGACAAAACAAAGCAAATGATGCTGCGCTGCTAAATTCTGACTGTTGATGTTGCATCACCGTTAGTCGGTCTATCCCACGGCTCGCAGCCGGATTCTCGAACAGGTTTTAGACAAAGTAA